AGCTCTCCCTAGTCCCTAATGTAGAAATGTATGCCAGCATGTCTTCGTGTTGGGTTTATGATTTTTACTTTGATTTCAGTGAGTTTAGTTGTATGTTTGTTGGGTTCAGTGTGTTCTTAGTTTTTCTAAGATAGGTGATGCTTTCCATATTTTCTATTATAGTAATCATACCACCTCCATCTTATACTCACTACTTTTATAGTTTAATGTATAATCCTGGACTTTGTTTGTTGGGTATGCTGGTATGCATTTGATTTCCTAGATCTTGCTTTAAGGAATCCTACTTAGATTCTTGTTGTTGCTGCTTCTCTCAGTTCTCTGTAGGAGGAAAGAAATGATCCAGCAAAGAGGTTATGTGATTTATGATTGTACTCATAATTTTCTCAGTTCACATACTAATGACGTCTTCCATTGTAATTATTACTGTTCTGAGAATTTTTTGTTTTCACTGAAGTACGCTCAATCTATCGAATACCAGATGTTGTGGCTGTGTCCTAGTATGATTTATATATAGGTTTTGTTTTGTAACTTACCCTTGCCATGTATATTTTAGGTGGTCCTCAAGCTGCTTGCCTTGGTTGTGCTGGCTTTGCTGCATTTTCAGTTGCCATAGAGAAGCTGATGGAGAGATATGAATGATTCAACAGCATTTTGCTGAGCAATCTGCAACAGACTTGCTCTGTATTAGAAGGCCAATGCCCGCCTAGGTAGTTGCTGATTTTTGTAGTTTGCTATACATCTTAGCCTGAATGTTCTCTCAGGATCATTAACATATTACTTCATATTCATATAATTGCTCAGAATATTTTTTAAGTTACACAAAATTCAATTAGTGGAATTCCAATTTTATTTCTGGAATAAGGTATTGTCCTAAGTACTTGCTTGTAACATTGTATTAAGTACAACTGAAATCAAATATCTTGAATGGTCATTGCTTATATGATGCTGATAAATTTATATGATGCTCAGATTGCTCACCATATCAAATCATTTTCTTCAAGCATGCAAATAGGGTACCTTACAGATAATCCATTGCAATTTGAATCCAATTTGAAGCACTAAATGAATCAAGCAAAAGGATGTTGATGTTGGTGCTGGTTTAGGTAATAGATGTCTTGACGAAACATGGGAGTTTTAGCTTAGGTGATAAATATTTGCATTTGGTAAAAGCACAAGTGATCTATGTACTCTATACTCCAGAAGTCCAGAGTTCAGATATTCGTCATTATATTAACTCTTTATTCCCGTATTGTATACTTGTATGTCGTACATGTACATCTACCTAATTGTAACGACTACCACATTCCCATATGTCACATTTGCTGCTACTCAGGGGGCAAAAAAAAAAATACGCTGTAGGATCCGAGTGATGTGCGTAGCTAACTAACAACACTTACATACGATTGATCATTGACATGAAAACTTACGGACTTACCCAATTACACACTAGTAAGTAGTAGGAAATTTTGACATTTGCTACCAGTAAAAACACCACGTTTCACCTTTGCTACCTGTTTAAATTTTATTTTTTACTTTACTACCACCTAAATCACACTTTGTTAAAAATAACTACCACTTAACGGTTTCTGTCACTGTAGTTAATAGTGGGCCCCACCCTAAGTAACTACCATCCTTCATTTCTTTCTTTCTCCCCATATCTACCCTGTGTCTCTCTATCTCTTCCTATTCAATTCTCACAACCTCCATTATTAACCATATTGAAGATTTTTTTACCCAATTTATCCAAGATTCTCTCTTTCTCTCTTTGTCGGTTGCCCCATTTCTTTCTCTCTCTAACTTATCCTTAGATCTAGGGTTTGGTTCGCGTGTAAACATTTGAGTGGAAGAGGAGGTCCAACTGGGTTTGGTTCAGCGTCATCTTCATTGCTGAAGTGGAAGTAGAAGAATCTTCTAACAGTCGTTGACAGGTAAGAACTCCTTTTGTACTTGTAGTGGTCCAACCATGGTGGTTTAAATGCAATAAAGTCATGTTATTTAGGGCAATTTTGGCAAAAAAGTTGATGTAAACCCTAGATTAGCGAGTTTTGATTAATTAAACCCTAATTATGCAATTAAATAATCATGTGTGAGTAAACACTCATGTGGTATGTTTTTTTATGTTTTTAATTGCTATTTTTTGCATTGTGGTGGATGAATTTATAATTGGTTGATTTGTGTGTTTGTCTTGGTTTAATTGTAGAATAATATGGAAGGTGATGATGAAACTGTTGACATTAAGCTTAGATTATTTGGCGGGTTTGTGGCAAAAAATCGTAGAGGGAAACAATATTAGGTGTATGAAGTTGGGTTTGTGTATTGGAAGTACTATGTCCCACTGTCCTATATAATGTGGGATACTTAAGATATCTATGTGTAGAAGGGTTTGTAGATATGGGGTGGGAGGTGCCTAACATATTCAGCATATGTTATAAGGAAAAGGGAAATACTTGGATTGATGACAAAAGGCAAATTGTGAATGAGGAAGAGGTTAGGGGGTTCTTAGAGGCCAAACACAGGGATGGATATCTGGAGCTATTTCAAACAGTGGGGATAGAAGAGTGGGACATGCCGAATTCTAGTGTTACACAACCAATTTCAAACCCTCCCAATTCCAACCAAGCTGGATCTGGGTCACAACTATCCTATTTAAACCCAAATGAGCTTGGCTAAACTGGGAATGGGTCACATCCATCCCAATCAAACCCATCCCAATCCAACCCATCTCAAACAAAACAATGCTCTAATCTAAATTGCTCACCAGAAACACAACACAACCCAGATCTAAGGATTGTGCTAGCTGTTAGGAGGAGTCCTAGGTTTGTGAATTCATTTGAGACTGAACCACTCAAAGTCAACTTACCTCTATCAAAAATCCAACCAACCAAACCAAGTAAGTCTGTGGTTAGGAGAAGCCCTAGACTTATCAAAAATTCCGAGAATAGGGAAGGTGTATGTGGTGTGAGTGAAAAGGGGAAGGGTGTATCTGGTGTGGTGGTTGAAAAGGGGAAGGGTAGGGATAAAAGAAAATCATTCACAAAGGCTATGAGGCAGCTGTTTAGGGGTGAAGAATCTGGATCAGGGTCAGATTCTTCAACATCAGATCTCAGTGATTTAGACATTGAATAGAAGGTTGGTAAAGAAGATTTGGATAACAGTGAAGAGGAAGATGAAGAATGGTTTAGAAAAACAGAAAAGGGTATATTAGCTGAAGTTCAAAAGAGTCTAGAGTACAAGGATCAAGGTGAAACTTCAAATCATTTAGTTGAGCACAAAGAAGATAAGCTGGTTCAGCTTGTCAAAGACATTGGATGTAAGGATCTTCAGCTGCAGGAAGAGGGGAGTGAATCAGATGAACCGAGAAGTCTACATGGTTCAGATGAGGAAGAAGATGATAGCCCTTGGTTCAGAGAAGACACTGAATTTAAGAAGCCAGTTGTGCTTGAGAATAAGCTGAAGTTCAACAATAGTAATGTGTTGAGGAAGGCATTGATAACACATGCTATTGAGAACAGGTATGAGTTCTATTACCTACACAATGGAGGTGACAGGATAACAACTTTCTGTAGAAGAAGGTGTAAGTGTGAGTGGAACCCTAAGAGAAGTAACTTGCCTTTATGCAAGTGTAGTGAAGAAGTGAGAAGGTGTAAGTTTAAGGTAACTGCTAGGAAGTTATTTGACAGTTATGCTTGGCAAATCAAAGAGCTTAGGCTAAAGCACAGGTGTATGAGATCAAAGATGAATGCATATGTCACATCTCAGTTCTTGGCAGAAAAGTATGTAGAGGAATGGAGAAGCAACCCTAGCTGGAGAATCAAGAGTTTAGGGCTAGGGTTTTGAGTGACCTTAGGATACAAGTTGGGTATTCTCAAGCATGGTTAGCTAGAGCTAGGGCTAAGATGATGATATATGGTTCTGCTTCAGAGCAATATGCAAAGGTGTGGGATTATGGTAAGGCAGTGCTTAAGTATAACTCTGACAGTGGGGTTTATGTTGTTGTTGAAGGAATGGATAAACCAGAAACTCCTCTGTTCATGAGGATGTACATGTGTTTGGTTGCTTTAAAGGCTGGTTTTAACAAAGGGTGTAGGCCTCTCATAGGGTTAGATGGATGTCATTTGAAAGAGGCCTATCCAGGTCAAATATTGGTTGCAGTTGGCAAGGATGGAGATAATCAGATTTTTCCTTTTGCATGGGCTACAGTTAAGGTGGAAAACAAAGAAACATGGGGCTGGTTCCTAGAGTGTTTGAAGAAGGATGTTGGTGATATCAGTGGTGGCTTAGGGCTGACTTTCATGTGAGACAGACAGAAGGTGAATCATTTAAACTAAAATGTTACAAATTAATCATATTTCCATCATATAAGCTATGTGGTTAATCAGTTTGTTTCTCTTGTTTTTTGACAAGGGTTGCTAGAAGCTTTTAAGCAGGTGATGCCATTAACTGAGAAGAGATATTGTGTTAGGCACATATGGGCTAATTTAAGCTCCAATTCACTAGTTCAACATTCAAAGAGTTGTTTTGGAATGCAGTTAGGGCCACTACCTTGGTAAGTGTTGATTATTTATGTTTGCTTTGTTTGGTGGAATTGTTTGGTTGTCTTTTGTTTACTGCTAGTTGGTTATGTGTCTGGTTTGTTTTATTGGTTTGCAATGCTGTTAAGGTAGCTTGTTTTCTTGTCTTCTTGCACATGGTAGTTTGATTTTGAGGTTGCAATGGAGTCTATAAAGTTCCTGTCAGAGGATGCTTATGGATACTTAGCAAATATCCCTCCAAGACACTGGTCCAGGCTTGCCTTTTCAGATTTCAGCAAGTCGAACATGCTTTTGAACAATCTATGTGGAACATTCAATGCTGTCATCAAGGATGCAAGGGATGGACCCATAATCACTCATATGGAATGGTTGAGGAAGTATATGATGAAGAGAAATAGTGAGAAATAGGAAGCAGTTCAGAAACTTGATGGGAAGAACATGCCTTATGTGAGTAAAGTCTTTGGAAGAATGGAACCAGTTGCTAGACATTGCATAGTTCAGGTGTCCAGGGGGGTTTGCTATGAGGTTGAGTTAAATGGGGATCAAGTGCAAGTTGACCTAGGCTTGAGGACATGCTCCTATTACCATTGGGAGTTGACTGGGATTCCATGTGTACATGCATTTGCATGTATTCTGGACAAGAGGGTGGACCCAGATGACTATGTGGATGGTTATTACAGCAGGGAAACCTATATGCTAGCCTATGAGGATGCTATAAAGCCTATGCTAGGCCCAAAGCATTGGGAGAAGATAGACCTTAGACAACCACTCCCACTACCTCCAGTTAGAGTTATTCCAGGAAGGCCTAAATCAAAGAAGAGGAAGCTGGAAAAGGGAGAGAGAGCAAAAGAGCCCCAACCTAAGTCCCAAAAGTTGCAGAAAAGGTGCAAGAAGTATGGACAACTTGGTCATTATGCCAAGACTTATGGAAATGAACCTAGGAAAGCACCATCAACTTCTGAGCCAAAAAAATCAACCAAACCAGTCCTGAACACTCCATGATTGCAGGAACAAAAGAGAAGAAAGGGAGAAAGGGTTGTGAGAAATGTATGCCTATTTTGTTCATTCTTTGGGTGTTCTGTGTGTTTATGATTGTCATTGATGCTGATGGTTTTTTTTCAATTTATACCGTATCTGGTGCTGGACCTTGGAGTATTGCTAATAGGTCATTTCCACAAGAACAACAACAGCACCACCAAGCTCAAAGCTCCCAACCTATTGCCTGCAGCCAACAGTCTCAAGCATCTACTATAACAATAGCTAATCCCCCAAAGAAGCAAGCAAAGGGCAAAAAGAAAGTAGTTTGAGTTCTTTGTTTTAGTGATATTGTACCCTTTTAAGCTTATGTTTTTAATGAATTTTGAACTTTAAGTATGAACAATTGTCTGTAATGTCTAAGTACTTCAATTCAGCTAGATTTTGTAACTAATGCACTACTTAACATTGCAATGGTATGAAATTATGTTTATTGTCTCATAAATGTTGCCTTTTTCATTCATATTTGAAGATCTTACAATTTCAAACTGTCCACTTTATTTGAGCAGACTTACATAATACTTAACAGTTAACACCTACTAACCTAAACTTTTTTAAGCACAACTAACATCCCTACCATCAACAAAACACAACATAGGACAACACCCACAACAACATACCCAAACCCTGCATTGTTCTGCTGCCCTTCCTTAGAGTATCTCTTCCTGTCAGCATTCAAAGCTTTGCACTTTAGTTTAAAATTGTCATTCTCAGTCAATAAGCACCTTCTTTGGCCACTAAGGTCCTCTACTTCTCTTTGCAGTGAGCTGATCTCACCCTTCATCAGTTTTTTGTCCAACAACAATTGATTGATCACCTCCCTTTGCCAATCAGTCCCATCATCTTCATCCACCCACTCAAAGCACCTGCAACCCCTGGTTTCTGTTTTGGGATCATAAAACTTGCATGCCTTGAACTTTCTACCAGGATTCTCTCTTGTCCATGAGGTAAGCCTTGTCATGGGAATGCCATAGTCACAGTTCTTGCTTTTGGAGGGTGAAGACCTAATCAAAGACATAATTCCCTGCAAATCGACCAAATTAATGAATGATTATAACAACAAATACTTTAATTACCAACCTATAGTATCAATTTCATGATTATCACACCCAACAAAAAAACCTCCAATTTCAATTTTCCTTAAGAACCTAAATTTTTTTCATGGAATTAACTACAAATTACTCAAATCCAAATTCGATTATAGCGAATATATCATTCCTATACACTAATTACGTTACTAATTAATCAGTTAATTGAAGATTACTTTGCTAAATTGTTCCAATTGAACAAAGAACTTACCCTTTTTCCGCTTGAAATTCCTTCGCAAATCAACCTAGCGAATCCCAATTACCACACTCAATGAATTCACAATAGATTGTAGGAATGAAATTGTGTTTTTGTTTGATGCAATTTTGATGAGAAATATTACGCTGAGCAAAGATTCAGAGCAAAGAAAGAAGAACGTTGAAGAAACGAGTTTAAATGGGGAGAATAATCAACTAGCCGTTGGAGTGGAGCCCACTGACGAAAACAGTAATAGAATAAGGCATCTGGTAGTTATTTTTAACAAAGTATGATTTAGGTGGTAGTAAAGTAAAAAAAAAAATTTAAACAGATAACAAATATGAAACGTGATGTTTTCCCCAGAAGCAAATGTCAAAATTTCCTAAGTAGGAACAAGAGTAACAACTAAGTGAACTAAGAAGGTTCGTTCGAAACAACCACACTCCCAAGTCCCAAAACTCTTCCCAGCGAAAATGTCCGACGATAAATTGGTATGCGTCACCGGCGGCAGTGGCTACATTGGGTCACAGCTAGTCTCTCTCCTCCTCTCTCGCAACTACACCGTCCACGCCACTGTCAAAGACCTCAGTTCCGTTTTCTCACTCCTCTTCTTCATCACTCAATTTCATCAACTCTTGAAGTTTGTATATTAACACTAGTTTTTTGTTTGATTTTCAGACGATGAGAAGGAAACGAAGCATCTAGAAGCTCTAGAAGGCGCTGAATCTCGTCTCCGATTGTTCCAAATCGATCTTCTCGATTACGATTCCATCGTTGCCGCCGTCTCTGGTGTCTCCGGCGTTTTTCACCTTGCTTCCCCGTGTATTGTCGATCAAGTTCATGATCCTGAGGTTTTGATTTTGATTTTCCTTTTTTTATTTTTTGGATTTTGTTGATAATTGATTGTATACTTATGATATTGGAAAATTTTGAGTGATAAACAGACGCAATTGCTTAATCCAGCAATTAAAGGGACTAATAATGTACTGAGAGCTGCGAAAGCGGCAGGTGTAAAGCGTGTGGTTGTGACTTCTTCTGTTTCTGCAATTACGCCGAGTCCGAATTGGCCTGCTGATGTTGTTAAGGATGAAAATTGTTGGACTGATGTTGAGTATTGTAAGCAGAATGGGGTAATTTACTTAATTTTAATAATATTTGTTAATTTTGTTCAATTTGAATGATTTGTTGCTTTTGTGGCGTGTTAGTGAATTAGTGCTACCCCGTGGTTTATTGTTAAGTTAGCTGTTCACTTATAATATAATTGCAGATGTGGAATTTATGATGACCGTGTTTCCAGCAATGTAAGCTCAATGATTGCTTTGGAATTTATGGTTAGGGTTATTAAGATAGTTCAAGGGTTTACAAGGATGGTATTTAATTTTGCAAACTATTTGCATTTTACATGGTATAAACTATAAAGTACCTCCCTAATCTAATTTCATTTGATCAAAATATTGTTAGGTTGTAGGCCATGTTGTTATGTTAATGCAATATTGAATGGGATGGAGGAGAAAGATTTTGGTCGATGACTACACGGAATAATCAAATTTGGTTTATTTAGCTGACCTCACTTATGGGATTAAGGCTTTGATTGATTGATATGCATAATTGATCCTGTGTAACTGAAATCTTGGTATGTGTGAAAGTGGCTATTTATAAAATATATTGATATGGATCATTTGGAGTTCTAGATATTATTTAGATTGTAAAAACATTGAGTAATGCTTCTGTGAAAATTGCGGGTCTGGTGCTAAGATTTGAGTATTCAGGCTGCCAAGGTGATTCTTTTACTCAGTTTAAATGGTTATTCTGTTTTGGGTGTAGTATCTTTTAATTTGGGATGTATGTTTACTTTCAACTCCTCAAAAACATGTCTTTATTGGTTCTTGATGATGTTGTGTACTTTTGCTAACAAACATGGATTTCCTGTTCTAGTTGTGGTATCCACTTTCCAAGACATTGGCTGAAAAAGCAGCTTGGGAGTTTGCCAAGGAGAATGGCTTGGACATGGTGGTGGTAAATCCTGGCACTGTGATGGGGCCAATTCTCCCACCCACATTAAATGCAAGTATGCTAATGATACTTCGCCTTCTTCAGGGTAATGAAATCTATCTGACCAGATTTTACATGTAACTCACCAGCTTGATATCTTCTAATTTTTCCATCATATGTGACCAACTCCACAATCTCTGTTTAGTAATGTTTATCTTGACAAGTGACCTTCACAAACCATGCCTCTGGCATGATTTATGTTCACTTGTTATATTAAGTGTGAATGTGAGATTGTAAATCTTGTAGCGACACAATCTCTGTTTCTTTAAGAATTAACGTTGTATACACCTTGCTAGACCCTACACTACTGGGATGTTCTGTGAGGTAATTGTTGTGGTGTGTCTTGTTGTTGTTTCTGATTTGAAAACCCTAAGAATTTCAAACATAGTTTTTGCTTGTAAGTCAACATATTAAGGACAGTAATTAGAAAGAATGCTTCCGCTTCAAATATCCTTCTCACAGATTAAGGACCCCTAAGTTTAGGAAAAGAGAAGGTCAATTGAAAAGTGTTCCTTATTACTATTTTTTACAAATATATACATTTTTATAATTATTATTATTAAGCATAGAACTCCTTGTTCTAGTTGTTGCATCCACTTCTGAGTCCTTGGCTGTAAAAAAGAACTTAAGAGTTTGCTGAAGAGAATGGTTTGAACGTGGTCGTGGATAACCTTGGCACACTGTCATGGGGCCTGTTCTCTCACCCATGTGAAATACAAACAGTGTACTGCTTCTTCACTATATTCAGGGTAATGATTGCTAAATTTTTTCAAAATCTTACATATAATTTAGGCCTATGCTGTCTACCAGCTTTTACTTCATATTTGAATATTTGACAGTCACCTTTCAGTAATTTTTGCATCCCTTGAAAATGATTGATCGAATATAGCTTCTCTCTAAATCGTTTGTTGTTTTTTTTTTCTTTCTAATTGATGTTCAATACAGAGTAGTACTCCATACCCCTTTAAAGGTGATTGAAACAACTACTTTGTAGTTTAAAGCTAAGGTGCCTTTGTATATACTTTGTCTTTTAGTTTTGCAATATTGACTTGGGAGAGTTTCTTCCGCATCAGTCTTCTCCCAATTTTCCAAGTATAATTTGTTTTCTTATGATATATGGAATACAGAATGAAGTTAATCTAAAATTTTGGTCCACATAGCTAGTCTTTTCAAAAATAAACTCTGAGAAAGCAATGAGGGAAAATGATTCAGATCTGCTTGCATTTCAAGTCTGTGCACATACATAACATTTACAATTCAAGATAATTATTCATAGTGTTTCCAAAATTATAGGCTGCACTGAAACATATGAAAATTTCTTTATGGGATCTGTCCATGTTAAGGATGTAGCCCTGGCACACATTTTAGTATATGAAAACAAGTCTGCTACTGGAAGACACTTGTGCGTGGAAGCTATATCACAATATGGTGACTTTGCTGCCAAAGTGGCAGAGCTATTACCGGAGTATAATGTGCCAAGGTAATTTGCTATACTATCTCTGAACTAACTTGTTTACTGTATCTTTTCAACTGTCAGGCAAGCATTATTGTACCAAATTTCTTAAGCTGTTTCCAATAAAGAGATAATAATCTAGGTTTTGACAATCTGGGACTGCAACCTGAGTTTGTAA